AAAAAATGCTTTCAAAAGGACTAAGCCCAAAGAACTAAAATAAAAGGAGAAAAACAACCAAAATCTATTGTAATAGATCTAACAACAAAACAAAAAATATTTTTAAAAAAAACAAAATAAGATGTTCTTATCTTGTCTCGATTCCGTCCTATCCTGTCCTTATCAGGACCGAGACAACATCGGGACGGGATTGGACACAAAACAGGATTTCCTGTCCTATCCCTATTCAAGACAGGATCAAGATGGGCAGGATCAAGATGGGCTTATCCCAATCTTGTCCCGTCCCATGAACAGCCCTAGATGTACTTAGAGCCGGGAATCAGGGCCAGCCCTTCAGGGCTGGCGGGCTTAAAAGGGCCGGCCCTCCAGGGCTGAAATTTTAAAAATACTCCAATTTGCTAAGCCCGGCCCTTAAGCTACAGGGTCAGGGCCGGCCCGCGGGCTTTTGGCCCGTTTAAGGAAAAATACTATTTTTTTATATTTATCAAATTTTTTTATAAAAATATAAAAATAAACCAATGAAATTATTAATAAAAGACATAAATATGAATAAAATTAAATCACAAATATAAAATATCATCATATATAAATATTCATCAACATCTAAGAACATGTAAAACATTCATTAACAAGATAACAATATCTAAAAGTTTATCTATAATGCAATTGTGCAATAAATAAACACTATCATTAATCTTTTGAAACTTCATCATCACTATAATTAATTACTTTTCTTCATAAGTATGCTTTTCTTTCGTAACAAAAATATCAAGTTTTTCTTCTTTATAAGAATTTTATTTTTGAATTTTGCAATCTAACTATTATTTTACTTTAATGTGAGAAACATTGTTGTTGAAACTCATGAATTTCTAATTCAAATTATAGAATCACAAGTTATATAAGTATAAAAATATTCTATTATCAAATATATATATATAGTTTAAAATATCAACGCATATAATATAAATCAAATCATTATTAAAGTCTAAATTAACCGATTTTTTAAAAATTTAATTGGATAAATTATTGTCTAAAACTAAATTTAATTTTAAAATGATAATAATAACTAAATATTTGAAATATTATTAACAATGTAAAAAATTAATAACATTAATATTATATAAAAAAATTTAAAAAATAAAAAAAATTATAAAAGACTTAAATGGCCGGCCCTTTTAAGCCCTCGGCCCTCCAGGGCCAGCCCTCCAGGGCTTGTTTCTCATTTTAAGAGAAAAATATCAAGCCCGGCCCTCGTAATTTCAGGGCCTAAACGGGCCGGCCCGATGGGCTCGGCCCGTTTTCCCGCTCTAGATGTACTTGAGAAATAAGATTAGGGCTAACCCTATAATTAAAAGAAAGAGCACATTAAGAATGTTTTTGTTGAATACTATTTTTTGTTATATAATGTGACTTTAACGTTTTCAACTTTTAGGGTGGTGAATAAATTATTTTAATTGGGGAACGTTTCCCAATTTTTCCAATATTCAATGATTTTATCTTCGAAAAAATATTTAAAAAAAAAGACGACAACAACAATACAAATTACAAAATAATTGTAAAAACAAGACTATTATGTTTAAATAGTGATTATTGCGGGAAAATCATGAGCGCCTATATTATCCACATGGCAATCACCATCTTTTGACTTTTTTTTCTTTTCTTTTTTTTTCTTTTTAAGTAAAAGCACCATATTTTGTACTTTAAATTGACTTTGGAGTTGTGGCCTTGTTATTGGATTGGCTTTTCATAATTTTACTTTTTCATGAAAGAATTTATTCCTGCAGGCTGCAGCAAAAGAAAATGGACCATCACATCTTTATTCCCTTCCTATCACTGCTTGCCTCCACCAATATTCCAGCAATTCTGTGATTCCATTTTGTGCCATTTAACTTCTCTCTTGTTGCCCTCGTCATTTTTAACGACAATCATAATACTATCACTGCGACGTTTACAACAACCCCGAATTTTATAAAAATAGTTTAGAGTTTGAGATAACTTGCATTTTCGAATTAAAAACATTCATATTCGAATATTTTAAAAATTGAACTTATTTTGACAATGATAACAAATAGTTAACCATATTGTGTTAAAAAAAGGTTTAGTAAGTTGTATAAGGTTCACATTAATTATTCTAGACTCTGCAAACGGCCCCACCCCAAACACCCACATACACACATTACATTTTGTGACCATGGAGACTAATCCTATGTTTGAGGAAAAGAAAATTAAGTGGAAAATAATATTAAGAGGTAAAACTCGTTAAAGTAGTAATTTTTGAACTATTTTTGAAAAAAAATTTTAGTATCTACTCTCTTCTTTTTCTTTTATTTTTCCCACCATTCAAGTATAGCCTAAAGAATTCAAGAGCAATAGTGGATTTTACTTAATTAAGTTATTAGATACACAAAAATTAGAATTCAAAGGCCACATCACTTAGGACTTATTTGAAACCGTGATAAAAGCTTTCAAAAGCAATCTTTCAATTATGATTTATAAAATATGGGGCGAAAGGGAAAAAATACCTATGAACAATTACCATATGTGCAGCTGGCACCATAAACAAACCGTAGGTCAAAATATGCTTATGATGATTTCAAAAGGACTCTATTTTACCACAGCCATTAGACCCAAAAACTGTCTGCCGATTTTGAGCTGTGGGTCCTATTTTCCCGTCCATGTGTCATCTAGGCTGGCTTGTAACATTGTGTGGTTGAAGGGTTTGACCAAAATGAAACGGTAAGGTGGCAAAGCTGAGTGTATGCATGGCAGGGAAGTCGTATTATTTTTATGCTCCCAACTCAATAAAAATTACTCTTAAAATACTCTTAATTATTTAAAAAAATACAATCAACTCCTTGTCTTTTCTTAATTAAATATGTAATTTTACTGTTCAAGTTTAGCACTTCAACGGTCCAAAACCGCATTGACATTGCCAACCTACCTTCAATTTTCACGAAGCTTGTATCTTCATCTTCTTCAATTTCCATGGCAACAGCGTCATCTCCAATCACTGCCACTGACCTTATGATCGAGCCAAAGTGGTCAAGGAGTTCGACAAATCCCAAGTCAGAGTCAAAGGCCTCATCGACTCTGGTATCTCCATCATCCCTCCTTTCTTTGTGTTCCCTCTTGACTTTCGATCCCACCTCAAACCTTGTCCTAGAAGTGAGTCCAAAATCCCAACCATCGACCTCTCTGGCATTGTCAACAACGACTCCCCCGATCGCCGCTCTGCTGTCGTGGACCAAATACGCTCTGCCGCCTCCACAGTTGGCTTCTTTCAGATCATCAACCACGGCATCCCCTTGGAAGTCCTCAACTGTACAATCTCCTCCGCCAAGGCGTTCCACGAGCAACTGACGGAGATCAAGGCGTGACTGTACTACAGGGTGCTGATGACTGGCGTGAACTTCATATCATATGTAGATTTGTACAGTTCACAAGTTGCAAGCTGGAGGGACACACTGCAAGTACAGCTAAACCCTCCCGTGGATGCCTTCTGATCAGATAAAAATAATACGACTTCCTGCCACACGTACACTCAGCTTTGCCACCTTACACTTTTATTCTGGTCAAACCTTTCAACCACACAGTGTTACAAACTAGCCTAGATGACACATGTACGGAAAAAAGGACCCACAGCTCAAAATCGACGGACGTTTTCTGGATCTAATGGCTATGGTAAAATAGAGCCTTTTTGAAATCATCATGAGTATATTTGGACCCACAGTATATTTATGGTGTCAGCTGCACATATGGTAATTGTTCATGGTTACTTTTGCCATTTCGTCCTAAAATATAGGATAAGTATATAAGAAAAATTTTATTCTAACTTATATGAAAATGCTCACAAGCATTTATCAAAATTTATACCCCAACAGCTTGAACTGGCAAACCATCTTTATTAATTTAGCCCATTGAGGTATGAATAACGCGCGAAACTAATTATGGTATTTTGTTATTATAGGATGTCATAATATTTATTAATTATTTAATTTAGTCCATTGAGGTATGACCTCATGTGGACTAGAGCACGCAACTACCCCTCATAAGGGAGGATTTTATAATGCCACGGTGACCACATGCCACTGGATATAATATAATTTTATGAAACATAGGGGATAAATAATGAGTACTCCCTCCATTCCTTATTATAAAAAACGAATAACCGAATTACGTTGATAAAAAAAGCAGTTAAAATTAGTTAAGAACAATCAATGTATAAAAAGTATAATTTCTTTTCCAAAAATACCCTCATTAATAAGGAGAAAGAACATGAAAGAGAACAATAGTAAATTATTAAAGAAAGAGAGAAGTGGGAAGGAGAGAGAGTGTGAGTTGGAGACAATAAATATGGGTAAAATAGGAAATCAACACAAAAAAGTAGAGACAACTTTTAAGTGTCTCTTATATATAAGAACATGCCATAAGTATCAAATGTCTCTTATAATAAGGAACGGAGGGAGTACTATTTATGACTAAATTTTACTCCTCTGGGCAGAGAGAGAATGTATTTTTTGATCCTATTTATAGGACACTGAGAGAAATTTTTTGTATGGATCTACAATTTTAGCCCTCGTTTATTATTATGTTAACTTTGTTTATATAAAGTATAATGTATATTAAATAAGGATAAAATTAAAAAGTCATTAAATTTTAAATAAGAGTTAATAAAGTTTAAGGTTTTTTTCCGTCTATGCGAAATATACTGGAAGTGTTTTATAAATATAATCAGAAGAGTATATTATATAATGATGCATTCATATCAACCTATTAATTAATTAATTTTTTTATTCCTAATTAATGTACCTGTTGGAAAATAACAAACTGTACTTTATTTAAATACTATATACTATACTAGTATGACAAGGCGGCTAGCGCCATCCACTACGACTAAAGAGGTTTGATTTATTATCACTATGTAATATAAAAATATTAACAATGCGCAGCAATCAAAAGCCATGACACAACTTGCGCTAATGGAGACCACTAAACCCATCATCTGAATGAAAACGAAAATTCGTTTCCTCTTATATTACAATTATAATTTACGAATTTTTGTGTAGTAAATATTACAATAAAGTTAATTAACAAGCAGGAACAGTATATTACATTATCTTAAAAATTACAAATCGGGAACTTGAGATTTATCATCTAACAGTAGAAGCAACATTATGAGCCCACAATTTTAGACTATCTTTCACATCGATTTCATTGTTGCTAGAAGGGACTCTCCAGTTCATCAGAAAAGGATTCCGATTTTGATTATTCTCTTTCTTTCTTCTTCTTTCCTGAAACTCCCATGCTTCTGAGAGATAAGGTCTTGAGATTTCTGAGTCATCAGAATGTCTTTCTTGTTCTTCTTCTCCTTCGTCTTCTTCGTCAGCATCTTTCTTCCCCAATCTCTGTAACCCAGGAATTATAGAAGCCAAGTTCGAATCTTTATCTTTTTCAGAGAAAACAAAACCCAGCCAAGTTCGAATCATCTTTTTCAGAGAAAACCCCAGATCCATAAACCCTTTTAGTTCCTCAAACTCAAGATCAGACAGGCTCTTTCTTTCCTTCTTGTTCATCCTTCTTCTAATATCTCTCTTCTTCTTGCTAGGCAGATCTTCAACATGGAGAGTCATCTGTTTTGGGGGTTCAATTTCTGGGTCTCTGTCTGTGGCTTCTTTTCCAGATAGAATGGTTTGAAGCTTCGAAGGAGCAAGAAGAACGGTGTCTGGGGAAAAAGAACCGAACTTGAAGCTCGTTAAGGAGTCGCTCATGGACCTGGTGTGGATGGTTTCGATGCGAGAAAGCTTCGGTCTTGGTGAATCTGGGATTTGTTTTTCTTCAATTTGATCTTCTGGATTTTCTTCAGAACTTGTTGATTTTATTGAATTAGGGATCTCCTTCAAGATTTCGACCTCAAACCAGCAAGAATCGTAGAGTTTTAGAAGATCCTCTGCTTCCATCAGCGGCGGCTCTTTGGAAAAATCAGCAGAAGAACCTTGCGCCAAATTCGGACCTATCTCTAATTTGCGTGGAACACTTCCCCAGGGATGATATTTATATACATATTATGCTTTTATTACGACATTGCCCTTCCCCGTGTTCTAATAATTAAAAAAAAAACAGAATTTTTTTGACCAACTAAAACTCAGAAGAATTCAACTTTTAACCAGTTAATTATATTTGTACACGTTTTACATCTGCGACGTTTTCAAATTTCAATGCTAATTTTTGTGGACCTACTTTTTTTTAATTTAAATTAAAAGATTGTAAGAATTGATTTGAGTGACATGCGGTAGTAGCGTACAGTGCTATTTTCGGAATGGAAAAACAAGCGTAATCATACATGTGATTCCTTTCAAATTTAATAAATGAATAAAAGATTAACCTATAGCAGAATAACAAAATTGAACTTACTATGTTGGAATAGATTTTAATAAAGATTATTTTTGCCAACAAGAAAGATGTTATTATAATCTCCAGCAGTCTTCATAAATGTTAGTTATAGTAAAAGAAGTATTCGATCCAAGAGTTAGTCATATATTTCATAAAAAATTTATATCTTATTATGGATTAAAAAATAATTTAAAAAGGCGCTAACGATGAAAAAGATTCAATACAATGAGGAAGAAATACATATGAATCTGGGTAGAGGAAAAGCAACTTTCTGAAACGGTGTGATGGAACATGGAAGTATGTAGAAGGAGAGGGAATTAAAGACGGTGAAAGTGACACTTTAGGACCAAATAAACTGAATAATGATATTTTAGGATTCAAAGCTATCTGAAGGAAATATCCCTATATTAATGCAAGTTCAAAATCATAAGAAAATAAAATTTAAAATTTTGGAAGTTAAATCAAAATCCATAAAACTTAATTACTTCCTTTGGTCCTTTTTATTATTATATTTCCTCCAATTCTATTTATAAGTTTCAAATTTAAAAAGAAGTGTGGTTCATTTTATAAGTTTTAATTTAGATGTTATTCTTAATTATTTTTTCTTGTTATATTTTTTCGTGCATTCTATTTTATCTTTTTTCTCATTCATTATAAGGATATATTTAAAAATAAAAGTATATTTTTAATTTATTTGTTGTTTTTAATTAATTTTAACTAATTATTTATTACCCGTAAATTAGTTATTTGAAACTCATAATAAGGACTGGAGGGAGTAAATGACCAGATCACATAAATTAAATTTTCTTAAAAAATTAATTAAAGCAAATAAATATGTAAAAAGTACAATTTATTTTCAAAAACACTATTATTATGGAAAGTGAGTGGGTAGATAATTAATGTAATAAGACTAATTAATATAATTACTTAAAATGTTTTACATGATGTTAGTATTTTTTTTTTTAATAAATAAGGACAAATCATTCTTAGAAAACTCTCTTGTACATAGGATAAAAGGAAGTAGAAAGATTGTGAATTAAAGTTTTCATATTTATTCTTAAGGTTTTTTTTAAGAAATAAGGAATCCTAATTTGTCATTTAGCCTCAAAGGAAAAGGAAGGGGTGGAGATAACAAGGAAATAAATGGTGCGGATGTCATACACAATGCATAATAAAATGCATAAATTAATAAATGAGAGGGCCCCCATAGAGACAGATGTTTAGTTGGCGAGTGGTTGATATCATAAAGTATGTACAAAGGGTCCCATCCTTTTCTGTGACCTTATACATTGACCCTTGGTGGTTCCATCTTTTTCTTATTAATTCCATGATTGCTCACACACAATCCAACTTATTTCTGCTTTCCACACATACCCCACTAATTAATACTCTTGCGCCCTTTCTCACTTGTCTCATCTTAATCAATATTAGTACTACATCTGTATTTCCATCGAGACTAAATAAAAAATAGGACAAGAAAGTATTATTACATGTTTTACAAATCACTTTGATATGAAAGCTCTTGTATAAATAAGAAACGTAGGTCTATCGGATTTTTGTTCAAGGTATATTATCATGTATTAAATATGACTATCTCTCCTAACAAATATTATGAGAAATTAGTTCATTCCATTAGACTCAACCTCGCTAATAATGCCAATTGTCTTTAAGAGCTTGTGTATTTTAGCCTTTAATGTATTGGAAGGGATAGACTTTAATCACAAGCATGCACGATAATAATCCAAGGGGAACAAACTGAGTTGCCTTTATCAGTGGTTAGGATAATTTGTCGCTCGTTTTGAAATTAGACAGAATTAGAAATTTTCTTTTTTCTTTCTTTTTTCCCCCCACACATGCCTCATCAATATACTTGCTTCCTTCCTCACCTGTATCAATCAAATATTAATCGTCAAATTGACATACATCTGTATTTCTATAGAATAAAATGTATAGTGAAAACGCCCCCAAAAAAAAAAAGGTTAACTTGTGGTGGGAAAGATAAGAGAGAACGATTGTACTGATCTATACTATTACTAAACGAAAATAAAAATTTTAGTTATACCAAACTGGCTCGGGTGGTACGAGATGGATTCATCAAATCCTAATGATTCAAAACTCAAAAAAATTCTTGAAATGGTTTTAATAAAGACGTGTGTTTGTGTGTGTGTGTGTGTGTGTGTGTGTGTGTGTGTGATATAAGACTTTAAAATTAATGTGAAAAGAGATGGAGACTGAAATTTATAAGATGATACGATAAATGGGACAATTCATAACAAGTAGGAGTAGGAAGGATAATAATCCAAAGCGAACGACTAAGTCGGCTTTATCAGTATCAGTAGGTATAACAGTGCATGTCGCTTGATTTCAAATTAGACAAAATCAAGAAATTTTCTTGGAATCACTGTGGTCGGCAGCTTTGGCTCTTACATATATAACATCAGAATTTGGTGTTAATCATAGGCTTCTTGAATTGCCTAAAACACCCCCCAAGTACACGTGGAGCTTATCCTACTGTAAAAGGAAATAAAAATTAGTTATTTAATTATATTCTTATAGTATTAATTTAGTTACAACTTGATGTAAACTTAATCTCTCAAAGTTTTAGTTATTTAATCTATTGGTCCTTATATTGTATTGCTCAATTATAATTCAATTACTGAAGGATTATTTGATATTCTGGATAGACAGGGTACCGATAAATTAAATGACTCAATCACACACTATTATAAGAATTAAATAATAATAATAATGATAATAATAATAATAACAATAACAATAATAATAATAATAATAATAATAATAATAATAATAATAATAATAATAATAATAATAATAATAAAAGTCACGTAGGACAGAGGTATGGTCAATATATACCTATGTTTGAAAATGTGTTCTTGCCCCAAATGACTTTTTGACTAAAAAAGGTTGCAATGATCACATGAAATATGAATTAAATTGGATATTATTATATCCTTTTCATTTAAAATAATGAAACACGCATAGCACACAAACACGTTAATGTTAGGTTTTGAACTGACGCCTCATCCAAACATACATAGTGAATATATAGCATTGTCGCTAGAATAACTAGCCATTGATTGAATATTTATCTGTATCAATCCAACTAGTTCAGGTATTTGTATGAATATTAAGTGGAGTATGAATAAAAACTAAGCTTTCAAATCTTGTAGTTGGCTTGCAGTTAAAATTCTTAGAGGTCTTCGTCTCTTCGATATGCAAAATATGGACATGATACGATGATATGCAACAATTTTCACTCGTGTAATGATTCTTTTTTTTTTTTTTTGGGGTGGAACTGTTAGGTTAGAAACAATTTTCAAAATTGGGAATTTGATCAATGTAGTCATGATTGGGTTTTGGGTGGTGTTAAAGCGAAAGCTTATCGTTATAATAATGCAGCTATATATATATATATGATGTGTAATTACTCCTCTGGTCCTTATTATAAGACCCCATTTGACTTTTTATTTGGTCTTAATTATAAGACCCCAAGCCATTTTATCTCTTATATTTATGCATTTTTTTCCAAGATAATCCTTCTAATAATGATAGTTTTAGCCAATATACTTAATTAGCAAGGATATTTTAGAAATAACAACATTTATTTATTATAAATAACCAACTTAACTTACTTCCTTAATCTTCTCAAATAAGTCAATTGGGTCTTATAATTAGGACCGGAGGAGTATTATTTTTCTGGCAAAAAATAATGTATGCTTTACGAACCATATGATCAATAAATTATGTATTATTAATTAAAAATCATACATATAAATATGAAATATCATCCTGCCAACCGATTTCATATTTTATTTTTGAATTCCTTAACAATGCGCTATTTCTTACTTTCACTTATTTTTCGAAGAAATATAGTGACAAAATATACAAGTTTTTAAATGGTTAAAAGAATGGGGATAAGAACCAAATATAATGTTAATTATACAACCAATCTTAATCTTATTTTTCTTTAAATGTTGGAGAAAGTTTTAAATAAGGCCGATCGATATAATAAGTCCTAGTATTTCAAATGTGATGTGTTTGTGTGTGTGCACGGCAAATCGTCCATAAGCGCATCCGATTTCACATTTTAATATTCAATGATGTCCAGGGCATTTCAGTAAATGAACAATTGTTGGCAGAATATACTGATTTTGATCCCGTGTTATTTATTAATTAACTAATCATCATTATTGACTAGCAAAGTTGGTCCATCAATATATTATTTTATATCAGTATAAAATTTTAAAATATAGTATTTATTTCAAATTTTATTATAACTACACGTGATTCACTTTATTTATATTTTATATAAAAATATTGAAACTTGAAAGACTGAGAGCCGTGACTCGGAAGTGCAGTATAACAGCATAACTACACGTCATTCACTTTCTTTATATTTTATTTAGATTTTCCATTTATTAATTTATCTTAAAATTCCTACACATAAATAGGGCATTTGATAATTTTCGTTTGGTCCAAGATAATTTTTTTTTCCTTCTTATCTCCCATATAAAATTTTTTCTCATAACATTTCTATTTATTAGGACATTTTTGTCTCTGTGCAGTAAATTTTAATAGTTAAATGATACAATTATTTTTTAAAAAACTTATAAATTTTTGACATATCAATTACAAAAAAACTAATTTACATTTTTTTAATTATATGAAGTAGTTAACAGGA